TCTGCTGGTGACAACGGTGGCATTTTCAACCTATTTTCCCCCTGTTATTGTTAAAGGGGATGCACTTTGACCAGGCGCTCTGTGAAGGAATTCTAGTGGCTTTTTCTTGCTGGAGGAATGATGGTCATCAGTGTTTGGGAAAGTTACTTTTAAAAGAGGTCATCAACTGCATTTTTTAATGATTTTATAATGTTCTCTAAGGTTCACTTATAATGTTAGTGTGATTTAAAATTATTATTTTTTTTTTTTTTACACACATTAAAAAAAACAATTTAGACGTAATAGGCTATTTTCTATCCTGTTTTGAGCCTCTCTCAGAATGGTCTGTTTTCATAGGAGGGGTGCATTCAAGACTCGCAAGTAAACGCCCACTGCTGTGATTGGCCAACAGTTTTGCAGTTTTACTTGTTATAATGACAGATGGATGCTGCTGTGACGTACTCTGAAAAAAACATGGGCCATCTGGGTTAAAACCATATAAATACTCAGTATATATCAAACGGTCTGGAACAGAAAATGCAATAGTGGTAAAAACATTTACTCAACGATGATGGATTCGCTCTAGTCAGACTCAGCACTGCATCATCTTTTACTTTCAGTCTCCCTGAAAAGCCTGCATTATACTGTCTTGTTTAAAAATGAATCCGTAGTAAAGCAAGCAAACAAACAGTGTTTCACTGATGCGGTCTGGAGCGCTTTGTGAATGTTTACACACAGTGTCTTGTAATATTGTAACATCATCTGTATGCTTCTGTTGATTGAGTAATCCTGTGTTTGTGTCTCTAGTATTTCCTCTCCTCCTACAAGCGCATATCAGTGAGCGGGGCTAAACGGGCAGCGATGTAGAATCGGTGGGCGGGGCTAAACGGGCAGCGACGTAGAATCGGTGGGCGGGGCTAAACGGGCAGCGATGTAGAATAGGTGGGCGGGGCTAAACAGGCAGCGATGTAGAAGCAGGCGTTGATCTTCTCCTGCAGAGGCGGGCTTTCGCCTCACTATTACGTCATAAAGTGGCACATTCCAAAGCGAGTTGTTTTCTGAGCTTGGTTTCAATAAAAGCTGTTTGTAAACTAATGAGAAAGTTTTGAGTTTTGAAACTTACAGGATGTTTTTATAGTGCATTGACCTGTTATATGTCAAAAGATCAAGGGAAATTTGATTTCTCAGTTCATGACCGCTTTAAAAGTAATGCATTACAATGTTGTGTTACTCCATAAAAAAAGTAACTAATTGTGTTACTTTTCATGGAAAGTAATGCATTACGTTACTTTTGCATTACTTTTTGTCACCTGGGCTGGGCTGGGCTGGCTTATTTGTTTTTATTTTTAATAACAACATTTTCTATTTTTGGTGACTGTAAAGGTCCTTTCAAACCAAAAGTGAAATGAACAATCCTCAGGCTGAAGGAAATGCCTCTGTCTCTGCACTTACTACTGATTACTCTAAATACAGAATGCATGGGAAAAACTAACTTGCGTTGCTTATTTGAAAAAGTACCTCAGATATTTAAATTTAAAAGTAATGTGTTATTTTCCAAGTTACTTGAATAAGTAATCTGATTACATAACTTGTAATGCATTACCTCTAACACTGGCGGTCCTCCTCTCTGTATTGAAAAAGTGCATCTGCTTTTTCTCTACTGTGAAACTCATAAGTCATAGACCCTTCACTGTCCGTCATCATTGTATGGACTAACACAGAAGAACATGATTGGTTGCCTCAATCATTACTCAATAAAGAGGCTCGATCAAGGTGTACATTTATCAGTTCCTGCATTTTCTCGGAATCGAACCGTCAGCCTTGTGTTTCCAGCACCATGTGCTGCAGGACTGGTTAGCGGCAGGTTAGCGTAGGGTTTATCCGTTCCAGTTGTGTATGTAGGCGCTCTAACCGAGGCTTTGAACTTTGATGGGATCCTCATGGGTGTCTTAGGAAGCGGTCTGGGGTCCGGGGTCTCGGGGCCGTATATTGTAACCCCCTCCTCGTGCTCTGGTCTGCTTCTCATTGCTGTTTGATCACCTTCGTCAAACTGCCTCCCTTTCAAGTGGTCTTCAATTCCTGCCAGAGATCCCGGCGTCTCTGGACATCAAATGTGCACTTTGACAAACAGCCTTTACCCGTTCTCCCTCACTCCCCGGGGAGCCTGTCCCCGCTGCTGAGAACGCTGAGCTGAAGTACTCGGGGAAACAGCGGGTTTGGAGGGTGAAGTGGATGCTCAGGAGCGTTGAGGAAGGGAGAGAGACAGCGAGGGGAAGATGGGTTGGAAGAGGGGAATTCCTTTGATGTGGCTTGTGGGTGGCATTATTACTATTCTTCAGAAAAACAGGCACACAGTAGCGGCAGAGCTCAAAATACTAGCACATGTTACCCCCTAATGCTGGATAGAGGTCTGGTTCCCAGGGATCCGAGCTTGGCTAAATGGTCATATGATGCTCATTTTTGTTCTATCTAAATGCAATTCATGCATACCTTGACCCCTCTTCAATCATAAGCATGTTTTCAATTTAGAAATTTAAATTAATTGAAATTATAGAAAATTTATTTATAATTTTTTGTGTCCCCAAAATCAAAAATGTCATGGTTATACAACAGTAACAATTAACATAATTAATATAACAATTCATTTTTAAGAAAAAAACAAAACAAAAACGTATGCATGATCGTATTATTATTATTATTATTTATAATAATTCATAAGAAGTAAAGCAGGTATGTTATTAATATTATGATTGTTATTATTTTTAATTATTATATTTTTATTATTACATCTTAATAAAGGTTGATAAGTCTCAGATAATTGTGAGACTACATCATTTGACCTTTTATGATAAGGCAGTGTTAGTTCAGGCTGTAAAGATTCATGTGATTACAAAAAAATACATAAATAATGGATATTGTTAAAATAATAATTCCTGATTGAAAATAGCTGAAAAATGTTATTAAATTATCATGTGTAGGAATGATTCATTTGTACTTGCTGTGAGCTGTAAACAGTAATCACAAACGCTGAGCTCTCGGCCTGTGGATCGAGCCGAAGCTCCTGAAGACAGCATCACAAAAGACTCCAATCCTGTCTCCTTTCCTTTTCTTTGGAGAAATATAGCCCTCCCAACACAATCCATTCCTTCTATCTTCAGCCTCACCGGCTTCAAACAGCTCCATTGTGATTCATGCTAGAATAACAGAAGATGTGCAGTAAATCTTCAAAACTTCAAGCACGTAAAACAGCTTTTAAATGAACCTTTGCACAGCTCTGACTTCACGGCAGCAAACGTTCGGCTGTGCTTCGCTTTAGCAGGCCTTGCTTTTACTCGCACTGTGAGCGTATGTTTATAGCCGCTTTAGAACTTCATCACGAATGCCATGCAAGCCATCAGAGGAGCGACTGCTTTCATTTAGTGGCTTTACTTCTGAGACAATGGAGGTCAATTCCTCAACCTCAGAAGAACAACAGCAGCACAAGCGCCAGATTTACTGCACATCCATCGCATTAAAAAGCAGCGGCGGCGTCTCGATTAGCCATCGCGTCCTCTTCACCGGTGGGATGAAAGGAAAGGCTGGTGTGTCTCACTTCATTTAAAGCCAGACGCTCTGAGACGGAAAGCAGAGCTCATCCAGAACCTCCTCCAACTGAAGAAGAGCACTTAGCAGAGAAGAGGCAGAGATGCAGAAGAAACAGATCAAATCACGCTGATGAAAGGAACGGGTCTGGATGAGACGCAAATGGAGGACGGCTGAGATGAAAGCACTTCATTCTGATAATGATGACTTTTTCCGGAGGAGCATGCACAGATGAGAATATGTTTTTCTCCAGCTCTGCGAGAGCTCACAGTCACAGATCTGCTCTCATTCTCAGGTGTGTCTGATTCTGCTGGATCTTCTGCTGGATGTCTCTGGGATTCCTCCGCCTGACGCTCCGAGGATCACGTCTACAAACACACGATGGCAGTAGTGTTAACGCAGCTTTGCAGTGATTTGTCAACAAAGATGTTTTCAAGGGACCACATTTTTGAAAATATAAAAAATATTTCTTGTTATGCTGATATTTACAGTTTTTTTCATCTGCTTGCACACAAAACTTTTACTTGAGACACAGTTTCTGAAAGCTGACACTCAAGCAGCAGAAGCACACACCAAATCTACAAAACCATACAATAATTCTATGAATATCTGTTAAACTGTAATGTATTTCTGTGATGCGCAGCTGTATTTTCAGCATCATTACTCCAGTCTTCAGTGTCACTAAAATATAAAAAATATTTCTTGTTATGCTGATATTTACAGTTTTTTTTCATCTGCTTGCACACAAAACTTTTACTTGAGACACAGTTTCTGAAAGCTGACACTCAAGCAGCAGAAGCACACACCAAATCTACAAAACCATACAATAATTCTATGAATATCTGTTAAACTGTAATGTATTTCTGTGATGCGCAGCTGTATTTTCAGCATCATTACTCCAGTCTTCAGTGTCACATGATCTTCAGAAATCATTCTAATATGCTGATTTGCTGCTCGAGGAATATTTCTGATTATTATCAATGTTGAAAACAGTTGTGCTACACAATATTTTAGTGGAAACGGTGATACATGTTATTTTTCAGGATTCACAGATGAACAGAAAGTTCAAGAGAGCATCATTTATTTGAAATAGAACTTTTTTGTAACAGTATACATGTCTTTACTGTCACTTCTGATCAATTTAATGGTGATTTTCTTTCATTGATCCTATAACCTTAAAACACAACACAATGCAATTCATAACTCAAAATACATTCGATTTGCATTAGCAGTGTTTGTTGAATGTAAGCACTAATTAGTGTAGCGGTGAGTATCAAGTACTCCATAGTTAGTCTCCATATATAGAGACCCATCCTGATTTACTGCAGCTGCCCTTTTCAAGATACTCAGTCTGACTGTTTCTGGGTGAATTCAAAGTGTAGAGTGAAATCTGGCGATCAGATGGACTGAACTCTCTCTCTGCTTCTCTGTGTTTCCAGATCCGTCCTGCTGCCATCATGCTGCAGAGCTCTTTCCTCAGTGTCGAGGAGCCTGTGAACAGGTGAAGCAAAAACATCCTTTCTCCCAGAGCTGCTTCTCATATTACATTACATTACATTATCTCTGCACTCTTTGTGAATGTCTGTGCTAATTACAGGACTGCCAATCAATAAAAAAAGTGTCATTTAATTTGATACTGTATCAAAACGGTTTAGTTTCAATGTTTGCTTCCAAAGACTTTTAGTTTGTATTTCCTTGTTTTCCACCAGTTTCCTTTCTTCTATAGTCACTAGTTTGTTTTCATAGTAACTGATGATGTTGTTCACTTGTTTAGTTCTCATTAGTCTGTGTCTATATGAGCCATAAACACCACACAGCTGAACAACATGATCAGTGAGAACAGAAGTGACTAGTGACTAGAAGAAAGGAAATACAAACGAAACGTCTTTGAAGACAAACACTGAAACTAAACCAAACGTTACAATTACATGATATACTGCTTATTTAATTAAATGATTTGCAATCAATCACAGCCAAATCAAGACAATTCAAAGACGATAAAACCTACGGATGAAGAAAGCATTTCATAGACATACAAAACATGTTTTTTAGAAGTTAGTAATAATTCCTTTTTACAGAATTGTATTTTTTGTATTGCATTATTGGAAAACATCTAAAATAGCTAAAATTATTACTATTATTCATCTGTCCATTAGTTTTCCCAGGTTTGGAATTGATGGCTTTTAGACCTATTTGAAGTTTTTTTTTCTTTATATATATATATATATATATATATATATATTAGGGCTGTCAGTTTAACGCGTTAACTTAATTAGTTATGAAAAATAACACGATTCAAATATTTAAACGCAGTTAACGCACTGGCCCCGCCCCCAGGCATCATCTTATACAGTATTTCATGCAGTTGACTGTTGACAAATATGATCAAAGACTATAGAAAGGGACTTTGATATGATGCAGGGCAACAACTCTATAAATCCAGTTATGGCCAAAAATTCAAGATATTGTGCCCCTGTATGAGTTTTCGTCATATTTATATCACATGATAAGCGATATCACACCAGCAGCGAGAGCAGTATCACAAGAGTGCTGTTTGTCCCGAATGAGATTTTATACAACAATTCAGTAAATATTGAAGTTGATATTGTGTCATATTTTAAACACAATATTGTCTGTTTTTGGTTTTGCCAACTAAAATATTACCTATAAAGCCACAGCAGAATTGGTGTGCGTCTCCGAGTAACACAGCGTGTTTAGTTTGTGAACGAATCCGCGTTTTGTACGAATCGAGTGAATCAATGACTCAAACGCCCATTCACAAAGAGAGCCGTTTACTTCATTCCTGAATTAATCAGCCGTTTGAACGAATCGAGTGAATCAATAACTCATAAAGACACTTACCGCCACCTGCTGGCAGTTTTGGTTCCTTATTTAGAGTATCATTTCATTAAAAAATTGTCATAATTTACTCAAACCTGAATGACTTACTTTCTTTTGTGGAACATAAAAGAAGGTATTTTGAAGACTGTTGGTAACAAAGCTGTTTTGGTTACCATTGCATGAACGGGAAAAAAAAAAACTGAGATGTTTCTCAAATTATCTTCTTTTATGTTCCATAGTTTATGTTAGCCCATTGTTGCCTAAACGTGTAATACATTTTATGTTGAATTAAATAAAACATTTCTTTCTAAAGCTACTATTTGTAATGTCTACTTAATACTTTCTCATTTAACACAAAAAATAGCTTTAAATAATCTTTTGGGGGTATTTTTACAGCCAAATGGAGTTTGCGATTAATTAGATTAATTAATTGACACATCATGTAATTAACTAGATAAAAAAGTTTAATCGACTGACAGCCCTAATATATATATATATATATATATGTATATAAACAAGAGTTTCCCTCTCTGCGGCGTGTTTGTTTCTCGCTCCCATGCTTAGCGAATGTGACTTTCACAGATTCACGTGTGTCTTTAGAGCATGAAGAACAGCTCTTTATGAAGTTCAGACGGGTCAGTTATAGCGCTGACCGCTCAGAAACACTGCCCCATTCAGTGCAGTGAAGCCTGCTGCTGCAGTCGGGCCGAGCGTCAGAGAGAGACAGATGGAGAGCTAGAAGCCCATCAGATGCAGACGGATCTATAAAATAGCAGATCAGCCGGAGAGAATAACGGCGGCTTGTTAGCGGCGCTGTGCAGGAACAGACCCGGCCCGATTCATCCTAATGGACGGCTGAGGCTTTGAAGAGACGAGGCCCTCGGCCCTTTGAGGAGGGGCCCCGCTGCTTCAGAAGATCTCCCCGCCATTGATTGAGCCTCCGAACAAAAAGCTGAAGAAAGAAACCAGCAGAACTTTTCCAAATGGACTGCCGTCTGGTTTCTCCGGCCCTGCTTTGCTTTGATGGCACAGCTCTTTATAATGCACCCAGCTCACCGTTAACATCCACCAGAACTATTACCTAACTATTTACTTATGCTTATCTTTCATATAAATGCTATATTTGTCATTTGGTTAAATTACATTTGAATTGAATTTTAATTATATATA